TGCAAACAACTACCAGAAGCTGATGTAAAGAGATTAAGTGAAAAGGTGATGCATCATAACATGAGAAATAATTTATTTTAATATAAAAGGTCATCGCCTTGGTGCACGAATTTAATTTTACTGAATAAACGTTTTTTCAATCAAAAAAGTTTTTCTCATACTTTTTTACGAAAATAAAAAACAAATTTAATTCATTAATACAAATAAGAAATGGATATTTAAAAGAAATTAACGAATTCGATTACTTACTTAACTAAAACAATAATGCTAAACTAATAATTTTTGACACAAATAATATAAAGGCACGAGAAATTCTCATGGAAGAATCAAATGTACAACCAGTCAAATGCCCGGTGACAGTTTGCGGTGATATTCATGGACAATTCCACGATTTGATGGAACTCTTTCGAATTGGTGGAAACTCGCCAGACACCAATTATCTTTTCATGGGTGACTACGTTGATCGTGGATACTATTCGGTAGAAACGGTTACTCTACTTGTCGCACTTAAAGTTCGTTACAGAGATCGTGTGACGATTCTTCGAGGAAATCATGAATCTCGACAAATTACTCAAGTATATGGATTTTATGATGAATGTTTAAGGAAGTATGGAAACGCCAATGTATGGAAGTATTTCACGGATCTTTTTGATTATTTACCGCTAACTGCATTAATTGACGATCAGGTTTGTGTTGATGGTTGTCCCCTGAAATCTTTAATGTATTGTTAATCATCTTAGTAATGGCGGTTTCTCTATTTAAGATCTTTTGTCTACACGGCGGTCTATCACCGTCAATCGATACTCTTGACCACATTCGATCTTTGGACAGAATTCAGGAAGTTCCTCACGAAGGTCCTATGTGTGACTTACTATGGTCTGATCCTGATGATCGTTGCGGCTGGGGTATTTCGCCCAGAGGTGCCGGTTACACTTTTGGGCAAGATATATCAGAGGCGTTCAATCACAATAATGGATTAACATTGATTGCTAGGGCTCATCAATTAGTGATGGAGGTAAACTTTTCATTTCGTTATGAATTATTAATCAATTTTGTTTTTCAAAATTAAATTTTTTGTCAATTAATTTAGGGATATAATTGGTCGCAAGATAGAAACGTGGTTACAATCTTTAGTGCGCCAAATTATTGCTATCGCTGTGGCAATCAAGCCGCTATCATGGAAATAGATGAACATCTGAAATACACATTGTAAGAATCATAGCTTTGATTTCGAATATTGCTAATTGGTGAAAAATTGTGATTAATAATACTTGATTTTACTAGCTTGCAATTCGATCCTGCCCCGAGAAGGGGAGAGCCACACGTCACCCGTCGCACACCCGACTATTTTTTGTAACAAAATTCACAAAAATTATTAAGAGACTTTCAATTGTTTGTTTCACATACATAAAATACACACTCATAAATAAACCCACATTTATATAAAATATCATTCAAGCATGTAGTATTAAAATTAGAATAGCGGTAAATTAAGAAAAAAAGTTCAGGCTTCTATAAGATCATTAATTAAAAAATAAATTATTATTTAGACAAATTTATTTTTTTATTCATGTTTGTAGAAAAAAAAAATATAATTTAGTTTAATTCATTGACTTTAGCAATAAACGGAATCTAAAAATTTATTTTGAAAAGCTCTTGCGTGTTTAACAGATTTCGGGATGTTTTATGGCATACGATCCCATTTGGTTTTATTTATTCGTACATTAATTATACAAATCAGATAGATTTTTCTTCCTGCATCGAAATCAATTGTTGCACCATTTCCTTCTCTTCATTTGTATTAACAACCAATACTCTAATGTTATTATTATTATTATTGTTATTATTACTATTATTATTATTACTATTATTATTATTATTATTATTATTATTATTATTATTATTATTATTATTATTATTATTATTATTATTATTATTA